CCTTATCCTCATCCTTGGTGACAATGTTCTCTGTCACATCCTATAAAGCATGGAGATTCTCCTTGGCCCTCCTTTTCTTGCTAATGTATTTGTAGAAACATGTTTTGTATTCTTTTACAGCAGTGGCCAGACTGAGTTCCAACCAAGCTTTCGCCTTTCTCATTTTCTCCCTACATGCCCTAGCAACTTCCTTGTACTCTTCCTGATTTGCCTGCCCCTTCTTCCAAAGGCGGTAAACTTTCTTTGTTTCCCCAAGTCTCAGCAAAAGTTCCCTATTCAGTCAGGGTGGTCTTCTTCCTCTCCAGCTCATCTTTTGGCGCACGGGAACGGCCTGCTCCTGCACCTTTAAGATTTCCCTCTTGAGAAAAGTCCAGCCTTCCTGGACCCCTTTGCTTTTCAGGACCTAGAGTTCTAACTGTTTAATGCTTATGAATAGAAATTAACTTTCTATGGTAAAAATAGATTGTTTCCATAGCAGGGCTGCCTTGGTATGGAAATATTTCCTATCTGTATGATACAAAAACATTTTTATTTAATAGCAGCAAAAATGCTCTTACTATACCCAACTAACCTTTCTTCCTTAAGTAGTCTTTCCAGTTTTTATAGCTCTCAGGGAGGCATAGTTAGTCATGGTGCCTGTACGTTCTTGATATGATTGTAAAGGGACTCACGAGCGTCCCACTTTTGGGGCTTTCATATTCTCTCTTTTCAACCAGCTAATAAAACATTTCCTTTAGGTCACAGTGTAATACAGATGGGTAGAAAGATTGTATGTATAGTATGTATCCACTATTGTGTAAGACTTTTCCCAGAGGTTGAGTGACCTCATGTAAATATTTCTGCTTGGCTGGTTGCCTTGGCTTGTGTTGTTGCCGTTGCAATTTGACCTACAGGTGCATTTTGAAAATGAGGTATCTGCCCTTCAAGTCTGGGCAACTGTGTTCTAACTAACTGAAGATTTTTGTGTAAAGAGTTGTAAAAAAGGCATCACGTGGATCCACACCTTGCGTTTCATCAGTCCTTGATGCAAGTTGTTTGGAATCAGAAGCAAATATCGATAGGAAACTCCTTTATCAGTCTTCTTGTGTTAGAGTACAGGGAAACAGAGGCTGAAAGGCAAAGAAAACGATTGCTTTCTATAGTTGTAGTTATTTGAAATCCATTGGCCTAATAATTTATATTTTTGCCTTCTCTTCTGAGCTTTATCTTCGGCTCAGCCCTCAGCTGGGGTAATGAGACCCTGAAGGAAGCGTTATTCAGAAGTAGTAATGAGATTTGTGCATGGTACACAGCTATTGAAGGAAAGGATCGATAACAACTTGAATAAACGAAGTGTCTGCGAAGTGTACCTATTTAATGATTGCTCTTCAACTTAGAGTGCAAGACTTAACTGACATGCAATTTAATTTGTCATCTTGTTTTTTATTTCTCATGTGTCTCATCTTTGCAGTCTTTTCTGATCTTATTTGGTTAAATTACTTCACATATTTTCTTTAGTACCTCACTACTCTGTCACTCTGTTTTCACAGAATAAATGCCAAAAACAATCTTGTAGCTGGTATCATACTTTGTGAATCTGAATTTTTAACTTTATATTATAATGGAAAGGGGCTATTTCTTCTTGTCATACTCCTTTTTGTCGTGGAACATATGACAAAAATTTTAATGCCCCCCTTTTCCCCCTTATACCTTAGTCGTATTTGGGATTTTTTTTGAAGCTATAAGTCAGTCAGTTCTTCATGTAGCACTTTGATATATTTAAAAAATTGTAGATAGACCATTTTTCATTCAGTGATCTTGCTGATAACATATATTGATAAGATTTGTTAGATAATCCAGACAGCAAAGAGAATGTATTTGCTATCAAATGAGGAAATTATTTGACTATTTTTGCGAAACTGAAGTCTGCCTAAATATCAGTCTACCACTTAATATTTTGCAGTCCTTTGGAATGATACTTTTGCTTAGTGAGCAAATCCACGATTTTGTTAATCGTGTAGCTATCTCACACTTAAATTTCTTCTAGTAGCTCATGATGGATATTCTGTTTTATTTGGAAAAATGAGTATTACACTCATTAGGCAAACTTCGTTTAGTTTGGAACTCAGTCAACCAGAACTGTAATTAAGTGGAGGAGAAACTTCCTAGCCTGACATTTGCAAAAGGGAGCCCTGTTGGAATTGGTCATTATCTTCTGCAACATGCCCAGCTGAGCCTTTGCAGTGAATAGAGGCAGCCCCTGGGAGGAGTGCTTTGAGCCAGAAGATTATTTTCTTTTGTAATTTAATTGTTGCATAGCCTTTTTCTTTTTTAATACAGTGAGAGATCTGTTCTCCTCTGTGTTCTGAGAAATAATAGTTTAGATTGGTTGAGGAGCTAGTAAGCTGTGTTTACTCTTGCTAGCTAGTATGTCATTGTTTATAGTTAGTTTATTACCTTTCAGAGGACACCTTAAGTGCTTTAAGTCCATGAAGACTACCCTCTTTAAGACAAAATTTATAGATCTTAGCACGGCTGTGAAATGAAAACGCTCTTTATCGATAGCAAATCATTTCGCTGTGATCCAAATCATTCAGTCTAAAGTTATGACGACAGGAGGGAGAAATATTAACTGTCTGTCCAAGTGTTAGTGTAGGCCAGTGACCTTATACATGTAAGGTATCTTTCATATTTCATTTTACATGTTGCCTTAATGGCTGTTCAGTTCATTTTAAGATGGAGGAAAGCAGCTATAACAGCTTTATTGACTCTTCTGGTAAGGTTGTGAACTTCTGAAGACAGTTCAGCAGATGTTGTGCATATTTAGGGACAAATTAAGAATAACTTTCTCTCCATACAAACACCTAGAGTCCTGCAAGAAAGAAGCTGAGAGCAAGTAATAAAGGTGAATGAGATGGATACTTTTTGAGCATGGTCTTGGAAGCAACATGGCAGCATGTTCTAGGTGACCCTGCCTGTGCAGGAGGGTTGGACCAGATGATCTCCAAAGGTCCCTTCCAACCTTAAGCATTCTGTGATGCTGTGAAGTAATGCCCTTTGAAACTCTCACCCAACTTAGTGTAATCATGCCTCCCTCGAAACATGGGGCAGCCATTGTTTTCTCTCATCCTCTAAGTTGTTCTGTGTCCAACTCTACTGTTTATTCTTGGACCTGTATTGTTTCATCACCTTGGAATACATCAGGAAACCATAGTGTTTTTGGTAGATTCTGTGGAGATCTCCAAATTCGAGCTACTGTGACTCTTTGTGTTTCAGTCTCTGATTGTGTGTGCCTGTTGGAGTCATGACACAACAAATCATCATTGGCATTTGTGTTTTTGTTTCTCTTCTTTCGTGTTTCTTCGCAAAGAGTGCATAAAGACATTGCATAAATTTTTATTTTCCAAGTGATTCTTGCAGAGCTGGAAAATAGATATTCCCATGCCCAATATGTTGCTGAATTCACTGATGGGCGCTTTAATGTTTGCTTCTGCGATCTAGAAAAGCATGTATGCTAGCACGGTGGTGACTGAACTTTTTGTCTTTTCATGAGAGGGGAATGAACCCACCCCTGTACAATGTCCTTTTCTCCCTCTGTGCACATTACAGAATATGAGAGCTTTGTAGTTTTGGCTGGGCTTAAGCTTAAATGTTCTTGTTTTTTTGAAACTGTTAAGACACAGGACAGCCACCACACTTCTCAGAATCTCTGAAGCTCCCTGTTTATTGATCCAAACACCTTGTGTTTTGGTCTGCTTTCCATCTTTTTTAAGTGGCAAATTACTGACATATCATAGATGTGAAAAGGTAGGAAGTAGCTGGCTATTTTAGTTCTAATTCCAGTGTAATCTGCTTTTGTACAAATGATGGGATGGGACTAATCTATGTAAGTTTTAGTATGTACTTCCCAACCAGTACTTATGTTGTGCAATGAATCCATTTTTCGAGAATTATAAATATGCCTGGTGGCCAGTTTGCTAACAAATATGTGTTCTAATTAATCTTAACAAATATATCATGCCCTGACATGTACTTTTGAATATTTTTAATGAACAAAATGGACTTACGGCTTTTCATATCCAATTCAAATCCATTAAGAACAAAAGCATACCTCTTTTTGAGGAAATTGTTTAATTTGTTGCAAAAAACGTTGTATTTAATTCTTATTATTCAGGGAATTAATCCCTGAAAATGGAATTAAGTTTCCATGTAAGTATCAGTAATTTAAGGGCTTAATAACAGTTGGAGTGGTAAAATAATTCAGTTGTTATTCTTGAGGTGAAAAAAAAAACTCTAAACATGTAAAACTTGCATTTGAATGAATAGAAGGAACCTAAGCAGCAAGACCGTCTCTCTTGTACAAACCAGTGAGGTAATCATCAGTCAGCTAAATTGCTGCTGTTTCAAGTGAATGTCATTTTATGGTCATGCATCACTTGTTTTTACTTGGCTTAAGATGCTGCACTTCATATTATGATAGGTATTTATGAGCGCCTTCTCATTTTGGGACTGTGACTTTGTTAATGAGGCCAAGCCAGGGCATCCCTGCTCATTAGCTTCTGTAGTAAATGTTAGGAGATACTAGGCATTACTGCAAATATTGATCATTTTATTTTGTGTATATTACACTTTTTTGTTCCTAAATACCTAATAGCCTCTTGAAACTAGATGTGTTTGCCTTTTTTTTTCTTTTCTTTTTTTTTTTTTCCTGTTGTCCTAAAGTGGAGTTGCTTATGTTCAGGATAGGTGAGCAGATGACGAGAACTTTTCCATCTTTAGTTTCTTTCTCTGACGGGAATCTAACTGGTAGCAGCGTCTGAAGCTTTAAAAAAGAAGTGAGATCCTCTTTTGGAGCTTCTAATTCATTGCTCATTTTGGCTATTGCTTGTACTGTTTGTCTCTGTAGCAGCTTTGCTTTGTTTTTCTTGGTTTATTTGCTTTTGATGTTTAAGAAAGATAATGAAATGGTCACTTGTAATAGAAATACTTTTTCTCCCCCTACTCCCTGCCATCCCTTTTAGGTAACTCACAGATGGGTGCTACCATAGTAGATGCATTAGATACTCTTTATATCATGGGGCTTCATGATGAATTCAGAGAAGGACAAGAGTGGATTGACAAAAATCTTGATTTCAGTGTGGTGAGTAGAACCTGTCCTGATATTTTTCCTAGTCCTTTCCACTGTGTTCCTCCTGAGGAGAGCTGGAAGAAGGCTCTCAGATGGAGAGAAAACTTATTCAAAATATCAGAAGTTCTTTCAGTAAACTTGCCATTTACAGAAGTTCTCTGTGTTTAGAACTTTCTGTACTTTGAAAAAGAACGCTTTTAATTAAGATATGGATTATTATTGGATAAGGAAAGAAAAGTGGTCCATGAGAAACAACAGTGCCTCTGCAGAAGAAATGAAGGTAAAGTCTAATAAAAAGATCAGACTTCAGGAGCTGATAGTAGCAGCAAGTTTTTTTCCCATTTTTCCCAAACCATGATATATACATTTTTTAACATTGTAAGCTACGTGTTTTCTTCCACTGTGTTACTAAGATGCCTTAATAGTAAGGCAGAATGCCATTTGAGTGTCCTTTGTTTGTCCGTGGCTTCAAAGTCAATCAGAAGAATTTTCTAGTTGGTTGTATGGTGTCTGGTACCAGGACATTTTTTCTTGTCTACAGAGTTCATTAATGTTAAATAGGAGAAATGACTCTGTTTTGTTCTTATGAGGGGTCCTGGTTCTAATGTGGGGATTATTTCATAAACTGTGTGACAGAATTTATATCTCAATCCTTGGCCTTGTCCTATGGCTCCAAAAAGACTTTTACATTCAGTAATGCACAACATTGGGGTTGAACAGATGCTAATTTTTTTCTTATTTTAAATCCTACATTTCAGAAAGGATTTGTCTTGTTTCGTACATAGACTATCTCACAAACACTACCAAATTTCTCCTTTCTCCTTCCCCATGCTCCCCCTTGATACCACCAGATACAGCCTAAAACTGAAGACTCTGCCTATGTCAGAGGCAGCATAGGCATAAAGGAAAAAATGTAACTATGGACTAGTTTGCTTCCTTGTTTTGTTTTGAACTAAAGCAATCTCAATATGAATATGTAGGGTTAATCCTGTGCACGTGGAAAAAAAAATTTGCTTGGCCCACTGGGTTTGAATTGTAGCTTCCTGTGTATAAGAAAATATTCCTGGAAGTTAATGAGTTCTGTCATTAATATGAACCTTATATTAAGTAGAAACAAATTCTTCTTAAAAATTGTTCTTACTGTTCCTTTGGGATGATTTTTACTGAGAAATAGAAGTCATTGGTTTCATTATATATTTTTGCTCGTGTTATTTATGGCTTTAATAGGTATTAAATGGAATCACATATTGCGTTGTTATTTTCCATATGTATTTTTCACTAAAATCATATTTTTTAGTTATTTCAAACTTTAGACTTCCAAGCATAAAGAGTATTTAACATTTAAAATGTTCATCTAGTTGCTGAGATAGGTAGTACATTGTTCTGGGATATGTGCCTGATACTACTATAAGTGCCAAAGAAAATATAGTGTGGAAGGGAAAATACTGGTAAGTATCATGTTAACTGCATGCTAACTGCTAGAACAGCTTGTCCAGTGTAACTGCAGGTCTCTTTTCTCGATAAAAGGAAAGCAGCATGCCTTATCTTTGAGTCTTTATTAAAATACATATTTCAGTGTTTATTGGATTGAATAATTTGAAGTTTGTGGGAGAGACACGGAGTATACACAGGCGAAGAAATGAATGGGGGTCAGCAGGGCACTATTTAGCACTATATAAAACTATATATATCTTCTCTTAATTTTTCAAAACAGGTAAACCCAAAAATACACTAGTGAATTTAGCCCAAGTATATTAAAATGGAGGGAGGCAGTAATACCTTTTAAGCTTTTGAGTTTCTCAGTGGTTTGTGTTGCATATTGTCATAATATTAAATATATGAAGGCTTTTCTTTCTTTAAAAAGAAAGAATTAAAATGGAGCTGAATTTTGGATTATACAGGGGTAAATCAGGGGAAGAAAGCACATCACAAGAATTCTCTAATTATGCTTCTACTCTACATTTAAACCCAGAAAATTCACAGGAATGCTTAAATATATATATAAAAATAAGGTATGCTCAATTATGGGTGTATGGTCTTTGTCCATACACCAAAGAACTGGCAGTTTGTGATAGTAACATAATTGGAGAGCAGGAGAAAAACTAATTTGATTGGGTCTACTTGCTTCTCTAGATGTTCTCCTTGCTGTCATGAACATGTACACAGGAATACCAGTATGTGTCTAGATAGTGGCACAGGGCAAACCCCTGCATGCTTATTTGCTGTGGATATTTACTTTCTTCTACTACCTTGTGATTTGTTTTTTGTTGCTGGACTAGGGATCTTGCTAAATATTTACTATTTTTTTTAAGCTTTATTATGTATTTATTTATTTTCCCCTCTTACAGAATTCTGAAGTGTCTGTTTTTGAGGTCAATATTCGCTTCATTGGTGGTCTTCTGGCAGCATACTACCTTTCAGGACAGGAGGTAAGGAAGCTGGAAAGTATCAGGGAGGTTTCGTGTTGTCTAGCAGATAAAGGTTGCATGTGCAATCTTTTTTAGAATCATGGTTTCTCCACAGCTGCAAACTAATTTTACAAGCTTGTTTCTGTGCAGCTCTAAGCTAATTAGAAACCCTTTATAAGAACACTGAAAAACTTCTTAAAGTGTATTCATAGGATGCCCCCTTTAGTCTGAAATATTAAGTCCCTAGATTTTAGTGCCAACAATAACTCATTTTATCTACAACAGTAGAAATAATAGTTTTGTCACTTGTCCTGCAAGGCTGTGGGTTTGCCTCACAAAAGTCTTAGAAAATATTCTTGATTTCTTATTGACAATTTGAAAAATAACAGGTCAAATTAATCCCACTTTTGAAATGCCTATTAAAGGATCTTGAGATTTAATACTTCAGAGTGCTTACCCAAATGCATGCCTATATTAAAAGGGTGCATATACCCAAACACTTGTGATCATTGACTACTTTAGTCTAGTAGTATCATTGCTGTGATCTTGTTTCCCATTGCCCCTTATACTTTAGTAAGGATGGAACCCAACACAGCCTGCAGATTAAGTCAAGGTTTTTCTCATGTTTTAACAGCTAGTTGTCTTTTGGTTGATATATTGATATATTGCCATTGATATATTGGCTGGACTCAGCCATATATCATGGGTTTGATTCTTTTAAAGGTGTTCATGCTTCTCGCCTCCCTTGGTTTAAGGGAGGATTGTGCGTCTGCCACAAGTTCAGTGGTTATACCACAATCCTAAAAGGAACCAGGAGAAATTCCACATTTCATATCTTCGTAATTCTTTGGAATCATCCTGGGACCCATGAATTTTCTCTTGCATTAATGTCTTATATTTGGAAGTAAATACACTGTGGCAGTGTGAATCCATTGCTTATCTTAAAATTAATTCAATTTTCATCAAGTATTGCTGCTTATCCTTCTTTACTGCCCACATTCTCTCCACCCTGTCTGTATTAAGATCACCTGCAATTTTGATGATATGAACTGTTCTAAGAGGTGAACTTTTGAAAGGAAAGGAACAGATTTTTGCTACTCCTTCTCCTTTGTAACAGTCTGAGTTCTGAGCTTGTGTTAATGGCAATAAGTCTGTCAGGCTTGATCTTGTTCCAGAGTTTCTTGGGAGCTCGGTAAGGATTTTACCCTCAGAGTGGCCCTGTTCCCACTGCTAAAGAGTCAACCTTTTAACTCTGATCACATTAAGTACTGTTTTAAGTACTGGAGTGTGCCCCTTGAAGTTAGCTACTGTGAATGTGAAAACATGATCAATACTATACCAGTGCACAAGCACAATATCAAGAACTTCTTTGTGCTAGTAAATTCTTGGAGGCAGTCTTCTCCTAGTTCAGGTGTTGAGTCTATTTGAGATGTGGTGTTTCCAGTCTGGTGGTCTTTGTGTGCTTCCCCCAGAAGGAAAGGTATTCATTGGCTCTGGGTTGGAGAATGTATCATTCATTTTCCACTGCACTCAGACATGTAGGGAGGCACTTCACAGCCGGAGTGAAAACAAGCAAGTCGGATCTCAAGCATTTGAATATTTTGCCCATGCAGGTCAGGATTGTGCACGTGACGCTGTGCATCTGAGGATATCCCTGCATATTGGTTAGATATCTTTCCTTTGTTCAATTACTCATTTTCTCTTCCCACCCCTCCACGATGTTCCATGCACATCTCCCTTCCTCCAGACATTGGTTTCTCTATAATTTGCTAGATCTTGGTTTAGGAGACTGTTGCATTTCTTTATGTATTTTTTGTAGAGCTTGTTTGGTATTTTGAAAAATAGGTCAGGTACATAAAATATGCCTCTAGAAAATAATGATGGTGGAGTTTTTTTGCCTTTAGCTTGCATTAAATCTGCTTAGGTCAGCAGTGGGGAGTTACTGCTGCTTGACTGTTACAAAATCAATTCTTATTTCCTTTTGATTCCTATCACTTGCTGCTAATACACATACTGAATTGACAGCCTTAAATGAAAATTACCACATTTAAGTGACCATTTTTGGAGAACTTGTTAATCAACATGGTTTACCGTATGTTAGTAATTTGTATGGAGAAGATAATTATGCTTGAAAGGGTTTTGTCTAATTATGATTCATCATGCTAGATATTAATTGCGGTTTAGAAAACACCTAACTATTAGTGTAGGTTGAAATGTCCTACTTATTGCCATTTTTAGAAATGTTATTTTTTCAATTATTTATTTTCTCAGAATAGCATGACTGTATCAATGGCATATTTTACTTATCATATTATTTGTATTTCCTAGATAAGTATCAGCTATATCAGGTTTTCAATAATGAGAGAGCTGGTTAAAGAGCCCAGTAGAATTTAACAACCTTCACAGTAAGATTGTACTGCTGTCCCTTCTTTCAGAAAGAGTTCTCTTGTGCGTGTTCACTACAGTGGATGGGAAAATAATAAAGTATACTTCCTTTACAACAAGAAATACTGCTATTGTAGCAACAGGCGGCTTGTTCAAAAATACCTTAGGCTTGGCCAGTCCATTGTATAGCACAAACCTTCCTTTATTTGGCATGTGACATTTCTAGAGACTCGAGCAGTCCATCCTATTACATTTGGGAATTTCTATTGGACTTCTCTGAGCAAGAAACATGCTAAACCATAGTTTGAGTGTGTGTTTTCATGCCCCTTAGATCTGTTGGCTAGGTTTGTATTGCCTTACTATAACAATTTGTTGATGTTGAGGGACAAAGTTGTTTCTCTGTCTAGCCATCTTCCTCCAGAGTGCTTTATGAGCCAAAGAAAAATAAAACATGACTATAAAACTCGTCACAGTAGGAAATTTGTCCATGCATTTTATTTCAGTCACCTTAAGCTGAATGAAAACTGAAGGCTGCTGGGGCCAAGATAGTAGATCTGAAACCTGAGAGGCTCTAGTTTAAATCCTTTGTGCAACAAGAAATTCTGTCTGATTACGGACAAGCAATCAGATGTATATTATCTAATCTTAAGGGACTGAAATTAAGAGACTGGAGCATCTGTCGTATGAGGAACGACTAAGTGAGCTGGGTCTGTTTAGCCTAGAGAAGAGAAAATTGAGAGGAGATCTGATCAACATGTACAAGTACCCTAGGGGTGAATGTAGGGAGAATGAAGCCAAGCTCGTCTCCGTGGTGGCCAGTGATAGGACAAGGGGCACTGGGTGCAAGTTGAAACACAGGAAGTTCCACCTCCATGTGAGGTATAATTTCTTTACTGTGAGGGTGACAGAGCAGAAGAACAGGCTGCCCAGAGAGACTGTGGAGTCTCCTTCTCTGGAGATTTTCAAAACCCACCTGGATGCCACCCTGTGCCACGTGCTCTAGGTGTCCCTGCTGGAGCAGAAGGGTTGGACTAGATGATCTCTAGAGGTACCTTCCAACCTCAACCACTCTGTGATTCTGTAATCTGGCTAGATACATATCATCAGATCCAAGAGTGTGCCTTTATTGACCCTGCTTCTAAATAGGGATAAGATCCAGCTCTGTTATTGCTCTTGAGATTTTCAGTACAAAGTTTGTGTCTGTTCTCTCCAAGATATTTTAATGAAATAAGTAATGATTATTAAAATATATAATGATTATGTGCTAAAGTAGAGAAATCTATACTTTCTTTTTAATTATGCTGTCAAGCCAAAGAGAGAAAGTGACTTGTTAAAAAGCATAAGAAAAAGGTGTGACAAGCTCCTTAGGATACTTTAAATCTGGGCAGCTCTTTGATATTTTGCTCTGTGCCAGGTGTTCCTTCTCATTTGCCACTGATAAAATAGCTACTAATATTAACTGTTTACTCCACTGATTCTTAAACTTCATTCAACTGTATGTAAACAGGCATACATTGCAACAAATTTTCTCTTGAGAAATGGGGTCCTGTATTTGTTGTACCTAGTCTGACTTAGGAGCTTGCTTATTAAGTGGAAGTTTCAAGATTCAGGAGCACTGGTTGGTAGGAAGTGGCTGAGAGTCATATTTACAATGAACCAGGCACTCTCTTTCTCCATCCTAGATTGTAATAGAATGGATAAAATGCTAGCAGTTTGTGTTTGATCAACAAGGAAGCATGATCTTACAGTTAAATTGTTACGTTTTCCACTTCTGAGCTCCCAGGTACCACTGTGCTTCTTCACTAGCTGTCAAGGTCGAGGGAAGTGATCCTGCCCCTCTACTCAGCCCTAGTGAGGCCGCATCTGGAGTATTGTGTCCAGTTCTGGGCTCCACAGTACAAGAGAGATGTGGAGCTGCTGGAGAGAGTCCAGCGCAGGGCCACAAGGATGATCAGGGGCCTGGAACATCTGCCCTATGAGGAGAGGCTGAGGGAGCTGGGCCTGTTCAGCCTGGAGAAGAGAAGGCTGAGAGGGGATCTAATCAGTGTATATAAATACCTCAAGGGAGGGAGTGCAGAGGACGGTGCTGGTCTCTTTTCAGTGGTGGCCACTGATAGGACTAGAGGAAATGGCCGGAAACTGAAGCACCAAAAATTCCATAGGAACTTAAGGAAAAATTTCTTAACAGTGAGGGTGGCAGAGCACTGGAACAGGCTGCCCAGAGAGGTTGTGGAGTCTCCTTCTCTGGAGATCTTCAAAACCCACTTGGATGCAGTCCTGTGCCACGGGCTTTAGGTGATCCTGCATATGCAGGGGGGTTGGACTAGATGATCTCTAGAGGTCCCTTCCAACCCTAAGCATTCTATGATTCTATGATTCTATGAAATGGCCTAATTAAGATACCAGGGGGAAATACCTGATGGTCTCTTATACAGCCTGAGCCAGGATTTTCTCAGTAATTTCTGTAACAATTTCACAGAATCTCAGGAATGGTTGAGGTTGGAAGAGACCTCTAGAGATCATCTAGTCCAGCCCCCCTCCTCCAGCAGGGAGACCAGGAGCAGGTGGCACAGGGTCACAGCCAGGTGGGTTTTGAAGATCTCCAGAGAAGGAGACTCTACAACCTGTCAGGGCAC